TTTTATGTTGGACTTCCTAGAAGATATCATTTATGTCCTTCAGGGCCATACGGATAAACTATCTAAAAAATCCCCGCCTTAGAAACTTGAAGTTTCCTCGGGCATGACCAAACATATAAATCTCGCCCAAGTGGCATGAACAAAGTCTAGCCTAAGAGATTTAGTCCCAAGTCTTGTCCGAGGGCTTGATAGAAGTCTCACTCGATAGGTTTAACATCCTGCCTGATGGGACTCATGGTCTCATTTAGTTGAGTTCAACGTCAAGATATTCCCTCGTTCTATGGTCTGAAAGTACTCCGCCCTTTATCAAAACTCTCGTGTTCGACGAACTATGTAGTGTTATATTTGTAAAAGATTTGGCAAGGGCAGAAGCCTTGCATCCGCCAAAAGTGGAGATGACCATATGTCACCCTCAAGGAGGTATCGCCTTGCCCCAAGTGCATTCCTCTCGCCTAGATATGGGAAAACATGGGAAGAGACGTTCGATAGGCAGATAGAAGTCAGGGCCAGTAGATGGTCCACGTCTCCCTAGGGAATACAAATTCAACGGTTCATAAATGACTGAGTGAGCGATATCCCTTCCCAAGAAAACCCTAGGCCCAAGTCCTATATAAATAATTCTCCTCAAACGAGAGATTGAAAGATCACAACTTACGCATTACACCTAAAGCATAATGCTTATACATAAGGTCTCTCACCTCACGTGAGCATGTCCTCTAAAACCACCATAAAACCATCGTACAAGGCTTCTCGCCATCATGGGCAAGATCTAACCATCCTCAATTGTTATAAACTTACTAAGGCATTTGAGTATCCCCTACCCTTGTATGGATACCATGCACACATGTACTTTTTGACCAGTACGACTGATCGCGACTTTCTATGTCTAATACAACCTAACTGCAAGTGCACAGTCTATCGCGTGGTAATAATAGATATTGATCCCACAGGGACTCGTAATCAAACTAGTGTTCTCGGGAGTTACTATGTTTAGCTAGGTAGAATATGTTTAAGGGAATAAGATTGTCACTAAAAGGGAACTAAGAATGCTACTTAGATTATAATTGATTGAATCGATATGCAGTAATTGTGTTCTTCAGGGATTTGACAAGTTACCGGTGTATGAAATAGTTTTCAGAGTTTATTTAAGCAGAAAATGGGGATTTAAAGACTCTCGCCTCACGATGGTTATTGACGCTAATCATAATTCTAAGGGCCAAACGTACACTTTCGTATCCCATTCGGGGTTAAAATTATTTTTTGGAAATCTCTAAGTTCTAATTCATTTTAAAGTGCTTCCGCTGTTATTAAAATGAATGACTAGTGTTTACTATATGATCTTACCACAACTTTCGCTTGTTGGTTCGTATCTTAATTAATTTCCCACTTTCGTGGCAAAACTACTTTTAAATAAGTTCTCGCTTTCGCGACGAAGTTTATTCAGTAAATCAATTTTAAACACTCAGACCATAAATTACTTTTGAAAAGAAAGTTTTTCACCAGTTGTTGTCAAATCCCATTCGAATTATTACTACAGATCGACTACTTAAGTTTAGATAGACATGGATTTGGGAAAGATAAAACATAAATAAAAACAATAAATAATAATTTGCATTATAATAAAACTGGAATTACGATTGAAATGAGAAACCTGTAAATATTCCAATTGGCCTTTGGGCAGATCCTCCACAGATGTTGTCAGGATTCTGGTCTTTATGCCAATTTGATCGAACAATAAAAGTAAAAATTAGAGAAGAATGAAAATGGAATACAAGAAAATTAAAGAGAAACAAATAAGAATATTAAACTGGAAAGATTTGCTCTGGAAATAAATTTGGCAGCACTTCGTTGTATGAATGCGGCTCCCTTTCTGAGGTCCCCTTCTTCCCCTTTTATAGAGATGGAATTCTAACGGTTACAATTGGAGAGAGTGGACTTTGAGGCAGAAAAATCAGGGAGTAGTGGTCCACTATTTGGGACTTGGAACTGCTTCTTTAACGTGTAATTGAAGTGGGGCATTTTTGCTTGCATGACGGTCGTCACAAGGTGTGACGGTCGTCATGGAGCTGTGACAGTCGTCACATCAGCAAAAACAGCCTTCTGCGCTTTTCATGATGTTTTCACTCCTTTTTCGTCCATATTTCATCTGAGATTGCTTCTTTTCTTCATGTTGCCTTGTTTAGACGTGATCGTTGAATACCTGCAAAACATCAGACAAATAACACGGAAATAACCCGAAATCGGATCGAAAACGGTTAAACTTTAGTTGAATTATGCATCAAAATATATATACGATTTCGTGTTATCAACGACTTTCATTTTTTAGTCATTATGGTATGAGCAGTTTGACTCTAAACATAATAGAGCTAACATGGAGATGGAAATATGTTATTGTTGAAGCTAATTTCATTCATGTTGTTGGCATGATTCAAATTTATTATACTTAAAGGTTATGAGGGGATCATCCACGCTGGGTCAAGAGCAACACACAAGTGAGAACGATACCACATATTAATCCAAAACCTTAAGGGTCCGTTTGGTTCAACGGAGGGGAGGGAAGGGGAGGGAGAAATTTTATTCAAATATATGTTTGGTTCTCAGGGGGAGGGGAGGGGTTTTAAAACTAATTTACCTTTTTACCCTTAAAATATTATAACAATCATGCTAAATAATTTTTTTTTAAAAAAGTATTCATAAAAAGCGTAAGATAATTAAACACAAAATATTTAACATTTAAAATACTCTAAAATATCTTAAAATGAAAATAAAATATTGATAAACGTCATAAAATCAAATTATATCAAATTATATGATCAATGATCATATGAACCATTTTCTCATCTTGATGATCCATTTAATCCTATAACATATTTATAAGATTAAATTCTACATAATATATAACTCATACTAGAATTATATATTGATATGTAATATAATACAACAAATTATAAAATAATTAAGTTATTACAAACAAAATACTAAATAAAAATAAATAGAATAAAACACATAGAAAAAAAGTTGAATCATAATAATAAAAATAACGGAGTTGTCATTAAAAGGAATTATAATAAGGTGACAAAAATTAAGGTATAATATTAATAAAGACAATTAAAAAATTTATTAAATAAAAGTGAGGATAATTTTGTCAATATAATAAAAATACATGTTATCATAACTCCTCTCCCTCCCCTCCCCTCCGAAAACCCCCAATTCGGGGGAACGAAAAATTGCTCCAGGAGAAATTCTGATTACCTCCAATCCCCTCCCCTCCCCTTATAAAAAATTGAACCAAACACATCTATTTTAAAATATTCCCTCCCCTCCCCTCCCCTCCAAAACCCCCAACCAAACAGACCCTAAGGCATTAAGTATATGAGTCCTCTCACTTATAAGGTTTTTAACCTTTACTTTTCTAAGTAATGTAACACTTTCAACGCACATTTGTATCTCAATAATACTTGTATCTACTATATATAACCTCATCTTAAAATATTATTTCTTTTATACCATTCAAACCATTCATACATTTCACATATGCCTTAAAATAAACACTTCTCCTATGAGAAATCATCAATTATTTACTTACGTGTTTGTTATTTAGCTTAGTGTTAGTTTATTTATTGATCTTGACCTAAAAAATCATGTTCTTTTTAGGCATGTCAACTGAGCGGGATGGGGATGAATTTTGCCTTTCTTGCATCCAAATTCAAATCCTAGTTAAATACTCATTTCCCGTCCCAAATTTAAACGAGGACAAATAATTAAACACATAATTCGTCCTGAATGAGTTTGAGCATCTCTGTCTCGTCCTATCCACGCATCATAATCAATTTTTTAAATTGAAATAATCATTTTCCCAAAACTAAAATTTGTCTCAAACTCTAACAAACATCAGAAGTAATAAATTAAATAATTGTGAAAATTTTCTAACATACATTTCAAATAATAAAATACCAACCAAAATATCAATGTACTAATAAAATAATTAATATTATAAATTATCAAAGGGGAAGATACTAGTATCCCCATTATACGAATTGCATCCATATTTTAAAATCGAGAAAAATCCAAACTCAGATTTGAACTCAGTCAATGCGGGTATTCACGGGGTGTGTTCGAGCGGGTACTCACAAGTACATGTTTTGTTGTCATGTCTAGTTCCTTTAGTATCATATCATGTTTTCTTTTATTTTCTTCTTCATATTTGTTATGCCCCGTAAACGGTAAGATGGTCAATAAGAATGAATTTGTGGTTTGTTGTGGTGGTTCAAGATTTTCGATATGGTGGAATGAGGACTAATTTAAAAGATTAATAATTTAACACTCAAATCAGTAAGAGATGCAAAATAAAATTTGAAAGGGAATGATTAAAATATTGAAAGAGTGACCCATTTTCCTCTTTAAATAGATGAGATGATTGTTGACTACATGTCTTTGGAATGCAAACTTCCTTTGAAATTATATGAGAGATTCACATAATATTCTTGTGATATGTAGCCTGTGATTCTTGTGACGACCTTGTATTTTACTGTTAGATTTTCTTGTCTTGGACTCTGTGGCCGATAAGAACAATATCATCAAAAACAAATTATATGATGCCAATGCCATGTTCGTTGGTTTGGGGTGGAGGAATTTTAGAGTGAAATGTAATCCTCAAGAAAGGCACATTTGGTCGGGGCAGAGATAGTGTAGTAGGACCCTTGAAGAGACAATTGAACAAATTCAAACCGAAAGCATACAAGAAAAAGAGATGAAATAATTTGGGCCACAAGCCCAAACAAATTTGGCCCATATAGAATAATCGCCCATTGGACCAATGAATAGACACGCGCCGCGGATATTTATAAGACACTGTCACGCTCCACCACACACCTTTTTTCCTTCACATTTCTCATTTCTCTCTCTGCAATCGAACCCTCGATCGAGAAAACAAACATCTTCTCCTATATCTTCTCCACCACCTTCGCTCCAATCAAATCTTCAATAACCACAACTAACTCATGGTTAGAATTTTCTCTATTTTCTTATCTCACCTTTTCACCTTTAGATTCTTGCAATCGTTAACAATTTCCGCAAATTTCGACTTTTTTTTATTTTATTTTTTATTTTTTATTTTAACTATTATTCGATGCAATTTAGTCCTCTCGATTTCGTATCCGTTTTCAGCTCTTTTCGTTGACTACAATCCGAGCTGGATTCTTCTTTGATCTGATCGTTTATTTTCAGCTGCGTTTATTTTATTTTTTTTGTAAATCTGGTGTCATTTTTAGATCTGATCTTGATATAAACTTTTATTGTTTCAATTGAATTATTATTTTTATCTGATTGCATAATAGGATGATTTTTAGTGGATTATTAGAATTGATTCTAAACTGTGATGTGCTTTGATCTGTGGAGTTCTGTTTTTTGTGATCTGAGCTGTGTCAATTTTTTATTTTCTTTTTGTGCTACACATGTTGATTTGATTTTTTTTTGTTGAGATAATTATTGGTGTAGTTTTTAATTAGAGAATATTTCTTTATCAGATTTATTTAGGTCATGTTTCTTTTATTAGATTTTTTTAATGAGTTGAGATATGATGTGTTTTTAAAAAAACATAATATATATTTTTGGCTTGAAGAAGATGCATCAAAACAAATATAAATCGGCGTTTTGTTGTTGTATAGTTTTTTTTGGCACCAATGACTAATTGTCTATATTTCTTTGATTTGGACTATACTGTGCTTATACTAAAAGTGTATTTCATTTTGTTAGCTGGCTAAATATTTTCTGTAATATTTTAAAATATGATATTTTTGTAAGTAATCAATAATAAGAAATGAAAACGGTTAACAACTAAATTTCTTTATGTGATTCAGAATTTTAGTATTTCTTTTAGATCACTTTTTCCTTTGATAGTGTCAACCCTATTGTATGAATAGTCTTTTTCTTCTTTTTCTTTGTATTTCTATTTCATTGAGTAACAAATGAAATGAGAGATTTTACATAGTTGTGTACAATCTTTGGCTATTGCTGAGTTCTGATATTCTGTTGCGTGACAATTGACATTATGATTATGGTGTGTCTGCTATTGCAATTCTACAGGCAAATGCAGCATCAGGTATGGCAGTCCATGATGACTGCAAGTTAAGGTTTATGGAGCTCAAGGCAAAAAGGACACATAGGTTCATTGTTTATAAGATTGAGGAGAATCAGAAGCAAGTCATTGTTGAGAAGCTTGGTGAACCAATTCAAGGCTATGAAGATTTCACTGCATCCCTTCCTGCTGATGAGTGCCGTTATGCTGTTTATGATTTTGAGTATCTGACAGAAGGGAATGTCCCCAAAAGCAGAATTTTTTTCATTGGCTGGTAATGTTTGCATTTTGATATGTGCTTATAGCTTTCCACGCGTTGATTTTTGTTGATATGTGCTTATAGCTTTCCACGCATTGTTTTTTGTATCTGCATCAATTTTGTTGGTTTTGTGTGTAGGTCACCTGATACTGCAAGGGTGAGAAGCAAGATGATTTATGCAAGCTCCAAAGACAGGTTCAAGAGGGAGCTGGATGGGATTCAAATAGAGTTGCAGGCAACTGATCCTACTGAAATGGGTCTTGATGTGTTCAAAAGCCGCGCCAATTAAATAATGATTATGAATAGTATAGGCTTTTCTGGTGGGGGAGCTCTCCCCTTAAGCCTTAGTTGCTGATATTTGAGATATCCATAGTTTGTGGGTTGGTCAATTTGACTAGGTTATGGTCTCAAACTCAATTTTCCAAGTTGTGGCATAAAGTGTATTGCACCTTCGACAGTGTCTTCTCTTGTTCCTGTGTATTTTGTTATGATTTGTGATATATACAATCTGTGTTTGAGTGTCATTTTAGTCCCCCTATCCTTATAGGTGGAATTTGTAACTGTTTTGTGTGATCAGACAACAAATGGGCTTCATTTTTTAAAAATATTGACACTTGGTCACTGGCTCGCACATGTTCATATTATTTTTCAGGTATGATATTCAAATGCATCCTGCCTCAGTCCTGTTGATGCAAATTATGTTTGCTAGGTTTGGTGTATTGAGATCCTATTCTATTGGTTTGGTGTTTTTGTCCAAAATAATTGGGACACTTGCTGCTAATTAGTAGTTGGTTCCTATTATCAAATAATAATTCCTGCTGCAGAATGGGTCCGACTTTGTTGAAGTCTTTGCCGTTGTCTGCCTATGTGCTGTTTGAGCATGTTGTCTCCGGATGCCTCCCTAATGGTTCTATCTTATGATTGGAGGGAGAGATGTGTTCGATTTAATGGTGTAAAGGGTGCTTTTACAGCTAAGACTGTTATTCACACCATGAACCACCTACTGGTGCTGTTCATATTACAATAGGAGATTTATGAAAGTGCCGTAGTTTAAGCTCCTTTTAAGATTTTTTACTATTGCAAACTAATTTAAATTAATTTATCTTTTATGTTCCTAAAAATAATTAATGATTTTCTATGTATAATTTGGTTTTGTAAGACACATTTTCATATTATGTTAGAGAACGGAGATTTCCAATCAACCCTTGGGATGTGCAAGGTTTCTAGAAAATACTTTTTTCAAGAGGATTTTGACAGAAAATACTGTTAAGACAATTATTATTGGTGGTGCAATTTTGCAATTTATTTTATTTTTATTAATATGCTAGTTCATTAACAGTGAAAAGGAGCAAATAGGAAAAAAAATAGAAGTTGGGCTATCTACAACGGGTAAGCAATCCAACCAGGTTCAGTAACCATGCCTTGAGAGTTCTACTTACATAACAGAGCTATCTTTAAAGCATACGAGCACACGTAACAGAGCTATCTTTAAAATTCTTTAAAGGATTTGAACAACATAGTACAGTCTTGGATTAGAGGATCCAAAACACTCTTTAAAGCAATTGTGCAACATAGTACTGTCTTGGATTAAAGGATCCAAAATAACATAAAAGAGATGAATTCACGCAGTCAATTATCATAGCGTCTGATTGAATTAGCTCAAACTCCATCTTAGTCGCCAACTGCAAACCCCAATCGATAGCTAGAGCTTTAGCCACATCCGGTTCAACCGAATTTTCTTCTTACTTGTAGCTACAATAAACATTAAGTCATCGTCATTCTGGAAACAACCAACATCCACCTGCACACAGTCGAAACCATTGGAATTGAAAACCTGAGCATCAGGTATAACCACCGTCTTCCTTACCCACAAACCTGGATTAGCGATGTTGAATTCTGAAACAAAATTCGGAACACTCGCAGCCACCATATGTGGTTTGAAATGCACTCTCTTGAATAACCAATGGTTCCTTCCCGTTCACACTGTCTGCTTATCCAACAAATTATCATTGAATAAAATGTTTCCCACCCAGTCCTAAACATCAATATTTGCAGGCAAGTGAATACCTATAGAAGAAGAGAACCACACCATTTTAGTAATGGGACATTGCACGAAGAGGTGTTGGACTGTTTCTGGGCTTGATTGGCATAGAGGACAAACGGGTCTAACCAGATACTTTTTCTTTCCAAGTTTTGATTGGTTAGAAGAATGTTTTTTGCGAGCCACCACAAAAAATCATAACTCGTGTGTGCACAAAGGGCATGCCAAATCTTCTTCCACAAATTTTTGTGAGGAGGGCTTGTTGGGCCAGCTATTTGATGCCCTCTTTGCTGCAAGTTGATGGTAGGATGATTTGTCAATGTAACCACCATCTTTCTCATCATGCCATATTAACATATCCTCTAGATTTTGTAAAAAAAGCGAAGTGCTCACAATTTGGATGACACTTGTAGGACCAAAACCATTGTTTAAAAGCTCTTTCTTCCAAAGGACGAAGTCTTGGTCAATAAGACTACAAACAAAGACATCTTTGTCCAAATAACGCGTTGCATTGTAGACCTTGAAACCTACATTGTCATGCAGTCAGTTGTCACCCGAAATCTTCACACTTTCCCCATTTCCAGTACTCCATCTTGCTCCCTTCAAGATAAGATCCTTAGTGCTTATAATGCTCCTCCAGGTATAACTTAAAGTAAAGTCTGCTTGAGCCTTAAGAATTAAACTTTTAGGATAGTAACAATTTTTGAAAACATTCACCATTAAGGATGTGCTTCCTGTGTGTAGCCTTCATAATTGTTTACCAAGTAACCTAGAATTAAAATCACTCATACCATGAAAACCCAGGCCTCATACACCATTTGCACGGGCCATCTTCTCTCAGCTCATCCTATAGATTTTTCTTTCCCCTCTTAGAGCCCCACTAAAACTTAGCCAACATAGCTTCAATATCCTTACAAACGCCCTCCAAAAGTTTAAAATACTCATGATATAACTTGGTATCTTTTTCCCCACCGCCTTAATTAACACTTCTTTAACTTCCTTGGATAGGAAGTTATCCTTCCACCCTTTCATCTTCTTCCACTCTTAGTTAATGAAAAAAAGGGAAAATTTCCTTTTTAGATCTTCCAAAGACAAGTGGGAGGCCCAGGTATCTCGAATGAGTAATCATAGTCTTAACACCCATCCTGTTACATGTCATGTCATTACCTCCATCAAGAAGATTTCGACTGAAAGATGCCTCCAAGTTGACCGTTTGTCCCGAAGATGCTTAGTAATTAGAGAGAACTCCCATGATATAGTCATCTTCTTTAGAGTTTTCACGAGCAAAAAGAAGGTTGTCAATGCGAATAACATGTGGGAGATTGTAAGCGTCTTCCTTGCCACTTGAATGCCATATATATTGTTGCCTTATATTTCTTTCTTGATCATCCCTGGAAGCACATCTACACACAAAATAAACAGGTAAGGGGAGAGAGGATCTCCTTGACGGAGCCCCCCTCACCTGGTAAAAATTAGTACCAGGTTGTCCATTATGAAGGATTTGGTAGGAAACAGAAGATATACATCTTTTTATAAGCATCACCAAGGATGATGCTAATCCCATAACCTCTAACACACCAACCACAAATTCCCACTCCAATCTATCGTAAGCCTTTGACATATCCAACTTTAGATCCATAACACCTTCCTTACCTTTCTTCCTCTTTTTCATCAAGTGGAAGCACTCCATCGCAATAAGGGCATTGTCTGTGATTAGCCTTCCTTTGACAAAGGCCATTTGTTCCTCTTCAATTATCTCCAAAAGGATATGCTTGATCTTATTGGGTATCATCTTCTTTACAAGTTTCATAACCATATTACAGAGGCTAATGAGTCTGAACTCTTTCAGATTCTTTGGGTTCTTGCATTTTAGAATTAAGGCAATGAAAGTTTAGTTTAGTTTCGAGAGGTCATGGTTGTTATTTATAATTTCAAGTACAAGGTCCTTCACATCCATACCTACAAAGTGCCAATATTTTTAGAAAAAAAGTGTTGGAAGCTTGTCTGGTCCCGGGGACTTAAGGGGGTACATTTGATAGAGTGCATTCTCTATCTCCTGTTCAATGAACCTTCCTTCACACCAACTTTTGATCACTATTTAGTTTTCCTTGAACCACTTCACAAGTCTTTTTGATATTAGTATGAATTGATGTTGACATGATATTTGAAAAGCAATTAAGGAGTAATCTCTCGTAGTTTCTTTCGCCTCACCACCACCGACCACCTTTATCTCTTAGTTTCTTAATGGTGTTAGTTTTCCTCCTTTGCTCAGCTTTACCATGAAAGAATTTCAGGTTTCGTTCCCCATCCTTAAGCCACACCACCCTGCTCCTTTGTCTCCAAATTACCTATTCAAATTTCAAAAGACTGTTTCTTTGACATTCGAGACCCTTGTAAATCTTTATATCCTCTCCACTTGAAGACCATTTGTTTTACCCTTTAAGAAGCTCCTCAATCTGTGATGTCAGTCGTCATTACGCGAGTTTTATGAGTAAATTCGGATGAAATTGGAAGAATGTTGACCAAAAGCAAAGGCAAAATATGAAGAAATAAGCAAAAATCCAAGACAAGGAAGAAATAGACACTTAGTAAAATTTGTGGAAAAAAAAGGAAAAAACCCTGTGATTTTCCACTAAAATTCTCGCAACATGATGTATCCCATCGCGACATGATGAGGCTTGTGTCGTGGCGCGATACTCTGACTATCGCATACGCCATGGTGCTTTTTCTGCTGACACTTATTTTTGCTATTTAAAGGGTTGTTTGGCAAATTTCTCAAGGGTTCCGAAGTAGAGATAGAAAGTGACGTCTAGGGTCATTCAAAGAGTCATTTTGGAGCACATTAGAATCATTGGAGAGCAATTCTTCCATAGATTTTGATGATGAATACTTCTCCACTCGTGGTATTTGTCATCTTATCAATGAGTAGCTAAGTTTATCTAGATTAGGTTTTTTTTAGATGAACCTTATTTTTACTTTGTTGGATCATATGTATGTTTGAGATTTGTTTAGTACTTTTAATGTTATTATCTTATTTAAATTTTTCTTGTATTTAATGTTTTTTGTCGCTTACGGACCTACAAATTGATTTAGATAATTAGAGATTTCTGATCGTTAGTATAATTTTCTAAAATAAGCAATTTATTTAACTTTGTAATGAATTAGGAATATGAATTTAGAAGTTGTTGCGAATGAATTAACGCAGTTAGAACGCCTAATTTAACCTTGAATTGCCCTAAGAAATTAAG